TTAAAGAAAGAGAAGTCGCAATTAAGAAAGTGACTAAAAAGTAATTAGAAATTCGAAACGAATATATTAAAATAGTAATTTAGTCTAGAAAGAGACCGCGGTTAATATCGTCAGTTCTGAGAATATCTTTAGAGATAGAAGTGAGAGCTTCTAAGCGAATATACTTCTCGTCCACCGAATAAGTGTTCACGAAAGCTAAAGAAACCATTACCAATAGTAAATATCTTCGTGAAGAGTTTTAAGAGTTATCTTCGCTCTTTAATACGAGACTATATAAATAAAATCTATTAAGGAATTCTTTCAATGTAGAAAGACTAGCATAGGAGATTATTATAAACTAATTTAAGAGAGTTAGATATAATACCGGTAAAGACACTTTAACGAAGCGACAAGCGGATAAAGTGGTTCAGTACGGATTTAAAGCTATTATACGAGTATTTCAAAGATTAATCGAAGTATTACCGACTAATGTTAGTTCGAGGTAATCTCTTTAGTATTACGCTACCCTCGAAGCAATTCGAATCATAAAAAGAGTGAAGACTAAAAAAGGCACGTTAGAAATTTAGCGAATTTAAGACGCTTTAAAGAAATTTAAAGAGTATAGTCGCGAAGTAAAGAAACCTCTTCGCGGCGGGAATTACTACTCGGGAGAATATATAATTAATAAGAAAGAATTAAAATATCTTTTACTTAGTGCGAATTATAATGATTAGTTATCTATAAATTACGTTATTAAAGGTATCGCGATCTACCGAAAGCATTAAGTAGAAGACGGATGGAATATGATCTATCTATATAACGTTCGAGGAATATTTACGTTTATAATCTAGCCGCGATCGTAGCGATAAGACAAGTTTATATGGAAGAAGCTAATCCTCTATCGAGAGATCAACCATTAGTGATTAGTATACGTCGATCCCGATTCTCGAATCGTTTACGCTATGAATTCGATTAGAAAGCGCACGGTAAAAGACTTAATGATTTCGATCATTTTGGAGTATCTTAACTCTTAAGTTCGAGTAAAGCTCGAAGACGGTAGATAGTTTATATTTTAGAATGTTAATGTCAATAAACAACTAAATAACTATAATTACGGAATATTTATCATCTTTTAGGCTAGAGCTCTTATGGAAAACGGTATTAAAGCTATTAAAGAAGTTAAAATCGACACTTCCCATCGAGTTTAACTTATTTAAGATATTCATTAAGCTATTATTAGGGATGAAAAGATACCATTATTATAGCCGTCTCGCGTAGAAACCAGTGAGTGGTAGCCATTAAAGCCTATTATGATGATTACTTTAGATAAAAGTATTGTTAATCTTATTAACTAAGAGAATACGAACCAGATATTATAGGCTCATATCGACCTATATAGCGAAGAGAGAATAGATTCAGAATATAATAGCAATGACTCTTAGAATAGAATCTCAACGCTAAGAGTGAACTCTCTCTTTCCTCGCGTTACTTAGTTAATTAAGGGAGGATTCTAAGAGCGAACCCTAGAGCTACCGAGTAATATTAGTATAAAAATAGACTCGACTCTAAGATAGAGTAGTTATTAAAGCGAAATATTAAGAGCGTCTTCGGTGTCCTTATATAGACCGAGTAGATCTATTACATCTACTAATAATATTTTAGTTCGTATTCTAAATTTAATAAGAGAGGAGAATCTATCTTCGTTACGAGCTTCTTCTTATAGTGCTGCGGACCCGCCCCCTAAATAATAATAGAATTAGATAATTCTTAAGTATACTATGTACTATCGAACGAGGTCGTCCTATGGATGGGAGAGGGAGAAATATAATAAGATAAGGTAGCTATACTATGATAGGCTATACTAAGCTAATAAAGCGGTGATAAGGTGAAAAAGTTATTTAGTCATATATTAAATCTAAATAAGCTGGTAGAGAGGAGGTACGGAATAGTTTACAGTGCTGGTAGTGTACTATTTATTTTTTATAGATTGAGCAGAGTATTATGAATTCTATGACTTTTAGTACCGTCTACCTAAATCCTAAGAGTGTTTTATTAGTTCTATTCTGTTCCTCGATGCTACCGCTGTGCTAGGTGTTCGTAGCCCTAGTCGCTACCTCTCTGGGTGGTGTTGGTGGTGTTGTTGTCAGTATCAACTAGAAACGCGTTTCCGATTCTCGATCTGCTGGACAGGCCTCTGTGCGTTGTTGCACGTGCACGCCAAACCCTGAAGTGCTCTGTTATAATAGTTATTTAAGATAATAAAGAAAGAAATAAGTAGTATTATATAGTTATAGATGAAGTGCCGTCGTAGTATCTTAAGCGCCTAGGCTAGGCGATATATAACATTATATAAGAAGACGATAGTTAGGCCGTAGGGTTTCTTAGTAAATATATAATATACGCTAAATCTATAATACTTTTCTAACTTTTCTATTCGTCTTTTCTATATATGAGCGCTTATAATAAGGTTATAAAACTTAAAATTTTAGCGTAGCTAATACGATGATATTATACGTACTTTATTAACTAGGCGAACTAAATCTTACTAGCCGAATATACTCTATTCGTTATTACTACTGTAAGAGAAGAGTATATCTACGGGAATTCTATAATGTTATCTATTTCTATCTACCAGAACTCTTTTATAAATCGGTCACTATACGAAGACTATGCGAGTCTTAATACACTCTATTTCATAGGGTGACGCTTTCTTAACGAACGTATCTACGTAGATTCTACTCGGACTCTTCTCCACTCTATATTATAAGTTATTATCTAATCGTAGTATATCCTCTTAGCGTTATTAGATAATAGATATTAGATACTCTAAGTATAGCTATAATAGCACTTATTATAGAATAGAGAGGAACCTAATTGTTCTATCTTCGCGGTAGCCCTAGGCTCGGCTTTTTAGAGCTATCACTCTTAGCGTATAATATCGATAGAGAATAGTATTTATAGAGAAGTCGAAGTTCGAGCAATATACTAGGAAAGCTTAGTATCTTAGAAATAACTAGATAACGACTCGTTAGCTCATTATTCACTACGCTAAGATCTTATATAATTTCTCTCTCGCGCTTACGCCTTATATATCTTCTTTCTTTTTAACGAGACTTGACTAGTCGCTATTATATATAGCCCGGAAACTTAAATAACTAGAGAATCGAGAGTTACACTAAATATTAGTACGAAGATCGTCGGTGTCTTTTACGTCTTTATTTATCTATAATTATAGAGAGTAGAAGGTTTACTAGGTACTTATTCTATTCTTAATCTATATTCTAGTAGACGTAGTAACTTATTCTTCTATACTCTTTAAGTTCTTAATAATAAACGATCTTATAATCTACCTAGCTAAATTCCGGCCGTAGTAATTCTATTTAGTATTATTATTAATAATAGACGTCTATATAATTTCTATTGATTTCGTATCGATTAGCTATACGTAGACGTTGTAATTAGATCGATTAATTAATCTTACTAAGGTCAGCACTATTTCCAATATTCTCCATTAAGCCGTACTTACGTAAAACTAACGCCTCCATTCCGCTATAGAAAGAATAATTACTGTACTACCCGTATAAATCTACCTTACCCGACTCGTTTCTAGTCTATATGACTATATCTAACTAATTATAAAACTCACTAGCTAAAGACGCTTAATAATTAAGGTATGAGATATACACGGCGCCAGTACGTACTGTAGTTTATAGTCACTAATTACTCGTAGTTTAACGAAGACTTTAGGTGTCTCGACGCCTAGATCACCATTTTACTTAATTAGATTTCTTACTCTCAGCGCGACGTACGATTTAACCGCGCACCCTGTTACACCGCTAGGCTCAAGGTTATAAGGAAATTTAGGTAGTAGCGTAAGGGTAGGGGATCTACTAGATTCCTAACACCTTATTAAAAATAGATGCCTTGCTAAGAGATAGATATAGCCGATTCTAAGAGGCTAGATTAGGCCCCCGGCGTATTTACTCGGGGAGTACTTAGAGAGCGCTCCCTATAGCTCCCTTAGTGCTCGGGCGCGCTTCCCCGTCCTCGGCCGTAGCTCCCCCGATGCTCGGCTAGACCTTCTCTATACTTCGTTACGTGCCCGATTAAAGCGGCCGTACTCTCTTTCCTAAACGAAAATAGTAAAGGATAAATTACAGTTCGGGGTATATATAATATATATATAGAGGGGCTAGGCGCTCATATATCACGGGGCTAGTTAGTTAGAACGACTTAGTATTCGTAATAATATAAGACGCGTCATTATACAGATAAAAGAACTGAAGTTTCTAGTAAGCCGCACTAACTAGAACGACCAGCAACTATAGCCGAGGTCTAAAGGGGTCCTCTAGGGGTCCCCGGGGGCCCGAACTTATTTCGGGGAGTCGGAATCGGGGGAGCGTAAAAGTACGGAGTATCACTTTTTTCGCTCCGAGATAAAATTAAACCCCTTAGAAAACTAAGGCATCAACCCTAAGTTTCCGAGGTAGTTAATTGCAGTTCGTTCGGAATAGATGCATACTGGAACGGACTCGGAACGCGCCCACCAAGTCGACTTGATGGATGGAGGGCCGGCCTGGGCTCAGGGGATCGGGTTTGGAGGTCTTTATCTTATCCGAATTGAGATTTGGACTCTCAAGTCGCCATCCAGGCCCTAGTTCAATCGACAATGGTATTTATTTTGGATCAAAGAAATGGCGCCCCACGCGCTGCGCAGGGTATATGAGATGCGAATGGGGAGCCTCGAGGCGCCCTAGGACACGTGTTCAGACCTTGGGCAGCTTTCTGAACTGCGCAGGGGATAAACGGGTACGGCAGGCGCAGCCACTAGCCAGTAGGCAGCATTTACCTCGAGACGCCAGGTTATGCACTAAACGACTGGGAATTACAGTTGTCATGTTGCATCCAGCATTCACACAGAGACAGAAATCTCTCAATGCGGGCGAGATACAGCCTTTTTGTAATCCCTTTTTTCTTTCGAGTCGATTCTGCTCGGATCTAGCATCATATCTCCCATCATCATGGCCTCCGAAGCCCTCCCCCGAATTTGGCATCTCTGCCCAACAGAACCCACCACACGCATACCTGCACCTCCGTCTACAGAGCTCTTCATTGGTGCCATAATCCGCAGCAAGCTCCTTAAGGACCTTCGCGTCCCTTTGAATCGTTTCGAGCGTCCCAATATTCCTTCCAACTGGATCAAACAAGCGGGCCCACAGAAAACGTCGCACAGAGTCAAAGAGAGTAAGGGTACGTCGGGGGGCTTCTTCACCACCATCGCAAAATTGATTGGTCTTGGTCCACAAGCGAGTGTGAGCTATGCAGAAGAGACTGATGTCACATACAACTTCGAAGAGGAATGGGATATGTGGTTAGACGTGCCACTTGAGGAGAGAAGAGCGGACGTGGATGATTCAGCTTCGGTCTCGTTTTCGTTGTGCGAGGATGCGGTGGCAGCGTCGGCGACTGTGCAGAAGTTCCGGGACGAAAGTGGCTGGCGTAAACCAGTCTACATGGTCACGGGCATCAAGTGGGTGAGTGGTATCAGCATAAGCCTGGGCTCTGGTCACAAAGTTTGTGGGAAGGCTGCTGTGGAGGCAGATTTGAGTGCTGTTACTGGTGTTCCAGCTACGATAGGTGTACAGGGTACTGGGTCAAGGGAAACACTAAAAGTGCACGTTGCCAAAGGCGGCATGCCGTTTATTTTTTGTGTGAAGTTGACCAAGGTCAAATGGGACAGGACAGGATATTTAATAATTGAGGACATGCGTAAGGGCACTTACATGAATATCGGCAAAGCTGAAGATGATGATGAGCAGATGTCTGCACCTCCCCTGGTAGCTAGTGATGCCACTGCACAGGACTTCGATGATTCTGAAGCTATCACGCTTGTGGACGTGAATACTGGATTGGAGGAGGAGTTCTTGTATGACATCGAATGAATTGGCTAAGCTTTGAGACTAGCATAGTTTGCATCAAGTTTTGTTGTCCTTGAGCCACCTAGTAATCTCTTCACATATTTCTTCGTCTGTATTGTGAAGCGAAAATAGGTCCGGCCAATCCAGATAATCGTAGAGGTCTCCCCTTGGCTTAGACATCTTTTGGAAGACTTTGCTCATTCCGTCGTAAGTCTGTAAATATTCCAAAGGCCACTGATCGTCTTGACTGCCATAACGACGCATCATCTCAATGATCGATGCTGCAATTGCCGCTGCAACTACTGTGGCGAAGGAGGTCCCAGACTCCCTGGAATTTTCGTCGTATCCTGGCACTTCGTCGCCAATAGTGATGTAGTTCTTCTGACCGAGAATCGGGGGCGGATTGTAACCTCTGAACTTGCCTTCGTGGTCAGAAGCGTGTATGGCAAAAACAGAATTTTCTATAGCTGGGTAAGTACGCCGTTGCTCTACACCTCCATTGCATGCCGCCGCAAATAGAAGTGTAGGAAGTGAACCCTTAGCTATCTTCTCGAGCGACCGCTCGAATGCTGGATATTGCGGATTTTTCTCATCTTTTTCCCACCCAAACGCCATTACCACTATTTTGGCCTCCTGGGCAATTGCAAAATTCAAGGCCTGCCCGTGTAAGTATGAAACAAGAATGACCAACTTAAATAACCTACCTCTGTCAGGGGCTTATCCTTCAACCTCTCGTTGGCTGGTCCGACCTCGGCGACATAAATATCTGCAAACGGAGCCATCTCTGACAATAATGCTGTCATGTGCGTCCCATGCTCCCACTGGCCTTTGGTGAGTTTGCCCTTGCGAATGTGACTGGATATACACGGTTCACTTTGTTCTGGAGGGCAAGTGCAATATGGCTTCACTGCTTTGAGTCTTTCCCTAGGCATGCGAGCTTGTTCTTGATCCACGCAGCTGTCTAGGACGGCTATTCTGATCCTAGGAGTATTAAGCCTGGGAGACTTTCTGGACACCCGGCTCAACACGAGCTGATAATAAAGTCGAAACCACTTGTCGACGCCCTTACGGGATTTACTGGATGACTTAGCATAGTGAACGCTTTGAGCGAAGAATACACTTACGAGAGCTTTGTAGGAATAGAGTCGAAATTAGATAACATGAACTTTGAGTCGTTCGTCCAATGTTCAGGCCATCGTCGTGTCATGCGGTCACGGGAGGTCGATTCTCTGATGCTTTCTGATTTGAAAAGTTTCGTTCGTTCGGGCTCGAGATCTCTGCTTCTGTGAGTGGCATGGCCACCATCGATGGATTCATACGATTGGCCAAGGCTTTCCGAAGTGGTAGATGTTGCCATTGGAAAATCATGAAGAGACAGTGCCGTGGGTATTGATGACGATACTACCGCAGTCTCGCTGAGACTAGATCCAGTACTAGTATCTTCACACGGTTCGGGCTCCCGGGCCGGGCCGATAGGTACAACAGGTACGGGTGGTCCAAAATCTGCTGCATAATACTGGATGCTGTCGTTGTGGCCGAAAATAATTGCCCCATTCTCGTACTTCTGGAGATTTGGTATCTCGCCCGATTTCGGTAAGAGACTTGCGAACTCCTTCAACCACATAACTTGAACAATATCGTTGTCGGGCTTCAATTCGTTCGTCTCGCAGCCACGGGGTTCCAGAGAGCCTGACGGACTATACCACATAATGGATGGAGACTGACTGATCATCCTAGTCGTACTGGTGAGGTCGCACCCGTTCATCGCCATGAGTTGTTTCATGTCTGATGTAGTAATTGCAATGTAGTACTTGCTGCAAGGCAATGGGGAGCATGTGGGAGCTTTCGGTTTCAAAATTTCCCCAAATCCTTCGCCGAAGAATGTGACCGCGCCAATAGCTCGAACAAAATCCACCCAACTCTTACCCCTTGGCGGCAACTTAAACATTGATGGCTTGATGGGATCATCCTTCCGTGCAATGGAGAAAAAGTCCCAGCCTTCCAGTTGGCTTCTTGGTATCTTGTCCCATGCTTCGTGCTGCTTCTGGCAAATGAAGGACTTTTCCATAACGTAGTAGAATTGCTCCACGCGATCCGACAGGACCTCATATTCTTCCGTGCCAAACCTGATCCTAGATAACATGAGCTTTGTAGACAAATTCCTCGGACATAGGAATTTTCGTGCACTGAAGGGAGGTTCCGGTTCCTTAAGGTCTCCTGAGCGTAAGACGAATAGTTCACCTTCGTCTTCCTCGTCATCAATCTTAAGGGACAGGCGCAAGAGATGTAGCAAACATCGGAGACCGTTGACGAGCCACCCCCGGAGGCTTCCTGTATCCCAAAAGAGGACAAACTGATCTCCGAGATATCTGAACATCAAGCCGAGGCTCGTACCGCGCGCAAAAGTAGGTACATGGTTAGCTGATAGCGTGTAGTCAACACCGCCGATAGGAGATCTGCCAAACGAAATCTCACAGTTGTGCAAGACCCCATCTGAAGGCACCTTCTCCAAAATTGATTTCATAATGTTATAATCACTGTCTGCAGCGCCACAGGTATTCATGACATTGGAACACCAGCCGACTATATGCCTGCATCTTGCCAAGTCATCATTATCAATGTCGCATAGCTGGTATATACCGTGATCAAGGTAAGAAACAGGGTCTTCAGTGGTGCTGCGACACAAATGCCAAATGAGTAGGTTGTCCACTCGCTTCGCCGGAGCCAACATCATCGAAAACCCTTTCAAGAAGCTATGGCCAGCAAAATCCTGCAGATATTTTGTGTCGATGAGTTCTGCTGCAATATTTAAGGGAATCTCGATACCGAGAGAATGCGTAGGTCGTTGTCGAATAGGAAATCCTTGCACTATTAAACAGCGCTTGAATAAATAGTGCCAGCAAGACCCGGACGCAGTGTTTTCTGCGAGCTGATGGTAGTCGAGCGCGATTTTGAACTGAACTGAAATGTTCCCGTATAGTTCATCTTTTGATCCCGCCTGAGAAGCTAGACTGGAATCATCATATCCATCCTCTGACAATGTCGCTGCTTTTTCTGAAGTTAAGGTTCCAAGCTTTGCAGCTATCTTTCCTCTGCCCATAGAGTTTTTAGTCTCACCAACATAATGTATTGAAGGCGAGCAGGACATGAGTCTACCACCAGTGGGTGACGACCCGAGTGCGGCAGTCACCCAGCAAAGCTGTTCTGCAATTTCGGCGACAACGTCTCTCGTCCCAGAAACCGTCACCTTGATAGTTGAATTGTCCCGCATTGCTTTCATATTTGTACCGTCAAGTCGTCGGAGCTTCGTTGTTCGCCCAGATTCAAGCATCAAGACATCTGCGAGGAAGCGTATCAAGAAAATGCCGGTGACTGGCCAAGTTTGCCGCATGTATTCATTACATGTCAAGGCTTGCGCATCGTTTGCAGTTCCTGTCACGGTGACAATAGCGCCAAGTTCTATTGGCTTTGACTCAAAATCAGCTAGATTCAGCTTCAGATCCATATCGAATGTGGCTTCGACTAATGGTGTCGGTGCTGCTTGCAGAATGAGCCTTGGCTTAGGAAGGGCCTTCAACACTTCAGCTCGAATGCTTGATTTAACATCACCATTCGGAGTTGCAAGCAGCAATTTGTTGCGAATAGTTGCGACCAGCCATTGATAAGAAGAGGTACTCAGTATCAAGTTCCGGTAGTTGCCAAGCTCTGGTGAGGCATCGTCAAACTCTCCTGATGGTAACTCCTCGATCTCGGGTGTCGAAATTATAGGCTCTTTGGTTTCGACATCTTTGTCGAACCACATTTGCATCAGTTCTCCCATAGGCATCTTATCTGTCGACACCGCGTTTCCGATTTCTTCATCCGGGACACCAGATACCATTTGCTCAAAAGCAGCACTTATCGAACTGGATAACACAAAATCTATTAGTATAATGCGACCAAACGTCGCGGATGACTATGGCTCTAACCGTAGTCATACTGGTGGGAACGCAATGAGATGTTCTTACTAACCTTCTGTACCGGTGAATGAAGACCATAACTCTGCGAAACTCAATCGATGAACTTTCATGTCCAAGCCTCAGGGCAAAATCAGCCAGTAGCTCTTGGATACCATTGCAGAGTATGGACACTGACACGGTGTCTGGTTGAGAACCACCTATGTCGTTGGAAAGGATTTCGGTGAATTCCTGAATGAATTCGTCTCTTCTTGAGGTCTCTACGCTGCCACCATCCGAGTACACAGTCTTGGTGTCATATGTTGAAGCGCTTTGGTCATCTTCTATTTCCTGTAAGCTCGTACGATTGTCCGCCCTGACTGGCTGGCTGATGCGACGATTGAGTGATGCATCGCCCGAGTCTGTATGAAGCCCAGAGTAAGATAACAGGCCCTGTCGATCGACACCTGATGTCAACTGTTCAGGAAAATGTACTTTCCCATGTCCTATTGCAGAGGCCATGTCGTCATTCTGGTAAGGATTAGGGTCGTGATCGGCAGCCTGTCTCTGGATATCAGCATCGTCTCTTGTGCCAATACTTCTTCGTATGCACATTCACCCATTGATAGGCGTCCTACCTTCGATATATGTCCGAAACCCCCACCCTCCCTTCCCTCTCCCTCTTCCTCTCCCTCTCCCTGCTCCCCAATCACTGGCGTGCGTCCTAGGTCCGTAGACTCCTCAAGGAGCGTCGTCTCCTTAAGTATTGACTTTTTGTGGTGCTCCATTAGCGCTTTAGCAGTGATCTCTTCCCCGTTTGCTTCCATCATCTCTACAACTTCCCTCCATTTATCTTTCAATGAACCGTCCGAGTCATATGGCTCAGCTCTTTCCATAAAATCGGCCCAGCCGCCCATCACTTCCTCTGCTTGTTCTTCACTAATCTCGAACCACTCAGAGTGTCTCCTCCCACACCCCCTGCACATCCCCTCCCGACGACGCTCCTCCCTCAATTCAAGGTGCAAGAGACTCTCGATTCTCTTCGCGTGTGGGACATGTTCCGCACTGAACAATAGATTTGGTGTATAACCGCATTGTTTCGACCATTCTTGAAGTCGACTTGAGACAGAGTGTGCGGTAATTCCGATTTTGAGGATACCTGGGGATGACGGTCGATCAAAGACATAAATCGAGGCGGGTCTGCGCTCCGGCTGTGTAAGACGACGGAGGATTTCCCTGGAGACGGAGGTACTTGGATGGGATCTTGCTGCATGGGGAGTAAACTCAGATTGGGAGAGCTGGGACATAGAGGTACGTTGGGTTAAGGCGGAGGCGACCTTAACGCGTCTTGGACTTTTCGAAGTTGTCGTTGTAACGATCTATCTAATCCAATTTAAGCTAAATGCGGAAGGAGGTGGAATGAGGGGACAAATTGTCAAGAATAAAGATAGTGTAAGCCCTTGAAGGTAGGTTCTTCGATCAATGGGAGGTTCGAGGGGCGGCGCAGGTCAGGAGATTGTCGAGGAGATCTCGATGTCGCTGGACCTCCTCATTTGGGCTTGGACTAGCTACCAGCTGATAACTTTGGAAAGGTCCCAGGTTGGCCGAAGACGCTAGGCAGCGTCGTCCCAAGGCTGATTCTGTACCAGCCCAGTTATTCTGGGATACAAAAGTCCCCAGGATGTCCCGCTTAACTCAACAAGCCGCAAAGTTTCAGGAAACTGCGAGCGTGTAATTACTGTGGGGGAGCTCCTTCGACCCCAGCGGCCAACTGACTCCAAGGGTGGTCGCCATAACGGTCGCCGCACAGGCAGCAACTGTGACCAGCCTCTCAACCGGTGAGGCATTTGACGATTTGCAGACCAGTGCTGCATTCGCTCAGTGGTGTGCCAATACCAGCCAACGATTTACCTTTGACACTTCCTGCCTCCCTGTCGGTATTGTTGCCTGCATAATGGTTTGCTATCGATAACAGCCACCCTCTAGTTTCATAAGAGGCACGGACCCACGGCAGCGCTGTGCGCACGATCGACGAAGCCAGACCACATCGGACTTGTGCGGGGCGCGAGAGAAGGAGCACGGCCGTCCGCAATTGCACTCCAGTCAGAGGAGGTCCGACATATCGCTCCAGCCGAGGCGCTGGCATGGAGGAGAGCCAAAAGCCCGCAGCATTTCTCTGCGTGTTATGGGCCACTAGCGGTGGTAATTTTTGATATTAAGCAGGTCGGTGGGCAATTCAGTGTCTACGCTATCAGTTCCCCTCTTCCCGTGAGCGATATTCGCAGTGGTGGGTCGATGCCAAATAATAGTGGGTCCGCACCCAGGGCATTTCATTGCGTAGGGATGCACGTTAGCCAGCGTTTGGTGTTGCGTTGGTTTGAGAAGGGCGGATCCGGAGCTGGGAGTGTCTGTGATGGGACGCGTCGCCATGCAGACAAATGGATCGAAGTTTCCAGGCAGCAGACTTGGCGAGGGATACAGCTAACAACTTTTGCCGAGGCCTAAAAGGGGTCCCTTGGGGCCCGGACTGGCTTTCGGTGGGTTAGAATCGAGGCAGGGGTGAAAGCACGGAGCATCAGTTTTTCCGCTCCGAGACAAAATCAACCCCTCAGAAAACTGAGGCATAAACCTCAAGCTTCCGAGGTGTTTCATTGCAGTTCGATCGGAATAGATGCAAATCAATCCAGCCTAGCTGAAAAGAATAAGCAGGTCTAGCTAATGGCCGAGATCTATAAGGCTGCTCGAGGAGTTCTCGTCTCGGCAATAAAAGTGAGCCAATCTTCCGGCGGATCGGCCACGGCGAAAAGGGCTCGCAAGTAGTCCCAAGAAAACTCTCAGCGAAAGCTTAGCCCCATTAACTTTACTGAAAATTAGGATTTACTACCAGATCTAAGGGTGTGAAATGGTTACAAAAGTAGCTGAACTCCTTAGGTAATGTCATAGCCGAATATATATAAGGTGGGAAAAAGTCCTACAGTCGACTAAGCTAGCTCCGCCTCCAGACTGGCTTCTCGTCTTAAACGGGGCACTCGGTTTAATTATTAGTTACACTCCTATCCCAAACTGGCCCCACAGCCTTATTAAATGTTTAGAGCCTCTCGCAGTGCGACCCACGAATCACCAACGACCAGAGTTCATCACGGTGTTCCCGATACGATACCGACCGTTCTATAAAAATTCCAGCAGGCAACTTTCTTTACATTAAAGCTAATGAGTATATGAATAGTCGCTAATGAGTTTAGCTAGCTGTTATCCTCCACAGCAGGTAAGAATAGGGTCATATGTATACTTTGGTTTAAGTGCTGTTCTCTAGCCGAAGAGGGTCATCTTTTCTCACTGAGAGCATTCCAACCCTTTTGTATTCCCGTCTACCCCGTGCTTCGGAATGCAATAGAGCGAGCCCATTTTGGGTATGAGAGCCGGACAGCGATCAAGGGCTCTTCCCGATACTAGTACTAAGATAAGGCAGTTAAAGGCCTTAAATTAGCTGGATCAACATTATTTCTTCTGCGAGTCTAAGTAGTTAAGAGCGACTGAGGTATCTCAATAAAGTAAGGTCCTCTAGTTCTCATTTGTGGAATTAAGGTCGGTCCTCAAACGGCTGAGGAGTATCGAAATTGTTTGTAAAACTTCTGAATGTGCTTGTTGTGCACTTAATCCCTTCCTGTCTTTCGAGTTCTCATCAGCACCATGGGCTGTTAAGAGCGAATAGATCTCTTGTGAAGAATTCATTGTTGCATGGAGGTAACCTATCAAAGCGGTGAGGTCACGAGACCTCATAAAGTTCAGTTTTTCCAAATCGAGCATGTAAGCTGCATAGTGTAGAGGGGTACTCCCGTATTCGTCCACTACATCCGGATCCGCTTTATAATCAAGCAAAAGTCGTACAATACTTTCGTTTCCTGATCTAGCCGCTATGTGAAGCGCTATTGGTAGGTTTGAATGTCTAGAATTAGCATTAGCACCGTGCCGCAGTAGTAGTTCGGCCGCCCGATTGTTGTGCCTAATGTACGCATGGTATAATACCGTGAGGCTAAGCTTGTCGACTCCTTCGAGTTCGGGTTCGTTTTCCAAAAGCATCTGGAGGATACTGTCGCTACCTGATGTGGCCGCGACATAAAGCACAGATTCTTCTCTGAGGTTTTTAATTCTCGGGTTAGCACCGGAGGTAAGAAGGTGGCGAAACAGCGATTTGTAGTTGTTTCTAGCCGCTAGAAATAGCGGAGTTTCGTTCTCTCCATCTATGGCATCAATATTCGCGTGAGCAGTAAGAAGGAGATCGGCGATAGTGATACGGTGTTTTCTGGCTTCGGACGTCACCAGTTCTACGGGGTCCTTCGCTTTCTCATTATTAAGTCCACGGGCGAACGTTGTACTTAGCTTAAGTGGTTATCTATTAAAAGTAAGTGAATGTAATGAAGTTCTACCCCTTACGTCTATCGTAGAGATTTTTGTCCCCCTATTTAGTAATATTTACGTTATACTTAATCGACCCTAGAAAGCAGCTATATATAGAGAAGTATTAGAATTCCTACTAGGATCTAACTAGGTTAGAGTTCCTAGTAATAATCTAGATAGTCTGAACTAATTGTAAATCGCGCAAGATATAAACAGTCACTTATCACTAAGAACTATATAGTCCAATAGATAACATAAGTTAGCTACGAAGAGAGTGTAACTATAAAAAAACAATATACGTAGCTATATATCCGTGTAGCCCTTCCAAATAGAGTAATGTAGAATAGTATACTAGTATACTAGTATAGCTTTCATATTATATACTAATATTCCACCATATCGTACTTTTCTAATTAAAGTGTTACGTAATAGATTTAGCTTAGCTCTCCGAGACTACTCTTACTCAGCCAAGCTTTCTTTCTTAGCGGGCCTCCGTACCTTCCTATTAGAATTCCTACTAAGGCCTAACTAGGTTAGAGTTTCTAGTAATAATCTAAATAGTATAAACTAATTATAAATTACGTAAGATATAAATAATCACTTTATCACTAAGTGTGGAATATCGCCCTCTAAAGGTTTATATTAAACCTTTAGTCACGT